TCTATATAATATACTAAAGCTTTGGCGAAATAATTTAAAATATTAATATAATTAAAACCATCTAAACGCTAATTTTACTTTTCAAAATATTATCTTATTTTTCTAATCATCAAGTAATGCAGTAAATTACTTGATAATTTCATAATGTTGATCCGTCCGCCCGATTGCTCATTTGCAAGATTTTTCAGAAATGCTTAATTTTCTAAAATTCTGTTTTAGATAATAGATGTTCAAGAACCTTAGTTCCACTGAGGCAGAGTATAAGTTAAATTAGTTGACCATAAAGAAGCTAAACTCACTATCAATTTTAACGAAATTCTTCTGATAGTTACGTATTTTGTGCTGCTACTTATTGTTAAATATATTCATTGCAAAAGGTTTATTACCTAACAGTTGGTTATTGTTTATATTATAATAATATTTATTAATATTTACTAAATATTGCACCAATATGCTATACGCTAAATAAAATACTCGTACATTTGATAGCTATTATCAGACTTTTGTCACCGGCGCGTTCCACATTTTCTTTTGTCAATAATAACGATAATGCTATTGAACGATATATGAAACCGCCCATCATCAAAACAATAACGTTACGCGTGAATCGATGTCAGATAACTGTCCTCTCAATAACGGAAGGTTTACGCGTTAAGTTTCGCATTAAAATTGTTTTATAATCTACGATCGCACAGCAATGAAGCATTGAATCTAGATTGATGGACCCTGGATGGGACGGGACGGTTTACTGTAATGTGATGCGTAATACACGAGATGGAAACCATAAAACGAACGTGCGAAATAATATAAACTAGGCCACCCATTACTATATTAAATGATTGGTAATCTAATCTTGATCGAACATACGTATTTCCGTATTTTGTAAAATATCAATTTCAATTGCTGTTATCGCTTTATGTAATCGTGTAACTCCAGTGGGAATCCTTTTCTATGATATTCGGCAAAGCTTTCTAAAATTCATTAACCATTTGTACACGATTTTTCATGTAGAAAATGTTGATGTATAAACTGAAGAGGAAGATGAATTTAGGTGAATACTGGTATTGAAATAATGCTTTAGGTACAGTCGAGCACAACGAGTTAAGATTCGGGTCCAGATTGATGTGGTGGTAAACGGTAGCAGCCGCATGAGCGATTGCGCTGAGTTTTGTTTCGCAGTTTGCTAGGTTACAAAACACGTGGAATAGTAGAATGGAGGAGTAAAAGCGGATTGCAACCGCAGTAATGCCCAATTTGTTGCAAAGTTTTCACTGAATACATCGGCCTGAGTAATCGGTTAGAGATCAACCATTAATCACTAGATTGTAATTCAGTGCCGGGAAAACTTTGAATTAATTACATCGAAAATTTGAGAATAACCTCTTGTAACTCATACTCTAATGTCAATCTTATTTGTATACGTATATAATATGATAATCAAGAGATAATATGTTATACTTTAATGATAATTTTATTGTAAATGTCATACGAAGTATACATCTTTATCTGTGCACTATATATATGCAGTAAATATATTATAAATAATATATTAAATAATAGATATATTTTAATATTGTATATAAATTTATTTTAAATGAAAAATCTTTTACGAATGCAGTTCTACGAAAATAGAATATAATTTTCAAATCAACTTTAATAAAGAAGGCTCCTTTTCGTAAAGTTACTTGTATTATTGCTATCATCCAAAAATTACGGTCACTAATTAATAGACATATTAGGATCGTATATTTAACATTTAAGTTTTTTTACTGTTCGTACGTATTATCATTTATGTTGAATATACATATATTGTTACACAATATGTATACTCTACTGTATGTTTCGATCGGATATCGCTGATAAAATAGCACCATGAGCGGAGTTGATACCCATAATCCACGTGGTCTTCAAATAGATGCCATGCGTACGATCGAACGAACGAATGATCGAACGAACCAACGAGCGAGCGAACGAACGAACAAATGTTCGAAGCTCGATTGTGCGGAGGGTAGGAAGAGAAGTGGGGTCTCTCGATAGCCGGCAGAGATTCTAGGTGGCTTTGACCCGCCAATTCAGCATCACCCATACGGGCACTCAACCGCAAATCGAGTTCCGGCCGTAGGGCGGAATAAAATCGACCCCGTCAACCTCGACTTTCCGGCTCCTCCCTTCCGGTAACCGATGCAACCTTCGATTCGCATGTAGGCGAACCTTATAGTAAGACATTACTCGCGAGGGACGCGTTTATCCCGAGAAAAGGTGTGAGAGAAAGGGGGGGGAAGAGAGAAAGAGAGAGAGAGAGAGAGAAAGAGAGTGTGTGTAAGAGGAAGGCAAAGAAAGAGAAGATAAAAGAAGAGAGTTTGGATAGACTTTAATGGGTGTAGCAAAATGGAAAAGCCTGGCCGCGGAATAACCGAGCCACGCTCGGGATTATGATTTCCGCAAAGAACGCGCGTGTCGCGCGTTGGTATTCTTTGCGGATCGCGATCGTAAAGTCCGTCGTTTTATACGGAAACCGGGGCAAGAGTAGTGCGGTCGGTAAGCTTCAACAATCTGCATTTGTATACACGGGATTTTAATGCGCGCACGTTCTTGGATAAATTGGATCCCACGGAAAGTCGCACGCGGGACAATTTCGTATCTCGTCGGTCGCGTCGATGAAGTCAAGAATTTTTTTATGACAGGTGACTAAAGTGGTGCAATTGTGTGTATATATATTTATATGGTCCGAGATAAATTTCAAGCTCTTTTAAACTCCGCAAAACTCCCGGCTCTCGAGAAGTTCGTGTTGAGAGAAAAGTGTTTGATATTCGTGACTATTATAATTGTATGAAATGATTATTTAATGTTAGGAGTTCCATTTTCATAGTTATTATACTACTTCAGTATAACATTGATAATATTGTACAGAAAGAAAAGTTCTTTGGTTTGTGTAATAATAATAATTTTATATAATATATATATGGTTGATACACAAAATGAGATTAATAATCATAATCATTTTCGATGCCACTACTATATATTTTTATATATAAATATTATGTATAAAACTATAAATATAATTACTATTACTAACATTATAGCAGTAATAACAATAAAAATTACGGTTCTAACCTATAATAATTATTTTACCAATTATAAATTATAATTACATAATTATAATTACACAAATACCAAACACTTTTCTGTCGGTGAGTAATACCTGAAATGAGAAATTCGTTTCCTTTAACTTGCTCTCTTTAACGACTAAGTACAAGAGATCCGACATTATAGGTAGGATGAGTGGCGCGCGGGGTGAAGTCGTCGCTTCCGCCGGAGATGACGCGGATGCGTTCGTTCCCGCCGTTATCGTTGTCTACTTTATTACGTGCAGCCTGCATGCGTCGTGTATGCGCACGTGTCGTCCCGTCGTACGTTGTACGTGAACGACGTGGTTGCTGCTCGTAGTTTCCACCCTTCGCGCATACAAAGAGCTAATCCACGACAGCTGATTTATGGATGAACAGATATACTTGTCCACCCCTTTACTGCCTTCGCAAGAAGCAACTTACGGGCTTATTGTTGCGCTAAGTGTTGCGAAAGCTTTGCGCTCTCTCATGTCTCATTGGTACCCTCATGAAGATCAAATTTACTACTCCGTACTCCGCTTTTCCGTACTCTGCTCGGGATATCTTCTAATTTCTGGTAACCAGATACCTGAATGTAAGCTCTTTTATTAGATATCGTATGATTATAGGATCACGTCCATTAGCCGGATTAAAGACAAATATAGTACGGTTATCCAATCTCGCGGTTTTCCTTCATCTGATGTACTTTTCTATCTAACATGATTCTATTGAATTTCTAATATACTAAGAAAAAACTGTTTGATGTTTGTAACTATAATTGCATAGTAAAATAATTATGTTTAGGAGCTCCATTTTTATAATTATCATTGCTAATGTTATAAGTAATAATTACTAAATAATAAATGAAAAAAAATATAATAATTATATTTATAGTTTTATATACAAGAAAATATATATATATAATTGGTCTCAAAAACGACTATATTTTTTGTAAATGTAATTATTATTATTACACAAAAAGAGTTTTGCTCAAGTATCTAAAAATTCAATCAAGTACAAATCTGAAGATAATTTTGCTGAACTCTCAAGCTATTAAAAATAATGTTGCTGAAATTGTTAATATTTTAGCAACCTGCAATTTGAGCATATTTATTCCCACATATTTATTCTGATCCAAACAAATTATTTCCAGATTTACATCTAGCTAAATTTTCAGATATTTCAACAAAACGATTCTTTCTATGTAACATTATGTAGCAATAATAAATAAAAATATGAAATTTTCAATCATAATTATTTCACCAAATAATCACGAATGCCAAATATTTTTTCTAATAGCGTACCATTAATATCTACCATTACCGAGATAATTTTTTGCGAAAAACGTAAACATAATTACGGTTTTCGCTAAAACAATCTCGCTCGACTGGGTAAATGATCGAGATAATTGGAACAACATACAAGTATTGTATATAGAAGCGTGATTCACAGCTCACGTTAGCGCGGAGTTTCTTCTCTCTTCAGATTATCTTTTCTTTT